GAAAAGTTCGCCACAACATTTATTCGAGTTCACGCCTACGCAATAATTATTGTTTTGTATTGTAATCGTCATTTACATTTTGCGGAAAATATACAACTGTGCACGCGTACTTAACCATAATATTATAAAAAACAACTACAGTAMGTTTAGTACTTACATGCGTATGTAATTTTATCTGAATACAACGTTGTTGAGTTTAGGCGAATTCCTTGGTGGACCGGTTTTTTATTTTTTTTACTCGACCTTCACCTATACTATTATTACGCTATGTGTGTGTGTGTGTTTGTGTATTTTCCCTTTATGTTTAAAGAGGAAAATACAAATCGGTTGACCTTTGTAATGATAAATTATGCAAATCGCTGTCGAACAGCATGTTAATACTATTACACGCGCTCACTTGTACGTCTCGAAGATAATGCGTTGCACTGTTTTATGTCTTTTTAAATTTTCGAGTTTGTTATCGCTTTTTAGATCATATTATGCCATTTCWACATACGCGTCGTCACACCTCTTTCGCTATATACTCGTAATAATATAAGTAGTTGGTTTTCAAATTTCGGATACCCATGGCTGTGTATTTAATTGTATAGGTACTACACATCACGACGACTACTCGACCTATCTATAGTTATGTGCCTACATAATACCTATATATATATTATCATATGTTCCTATGTTGATTTGCACGTTCGAAGGTTTGGTTCGGAATCGAATATAATCGATCGTGATGAAGGTATTCTCATGTTTGGAATATAATATATTATATATATTTTTAAATAACTGTCATCAAATATCCCACTTACGAATTTCATTCCTATAGATCGTATAGGAACAATAACCAAATTTACGTCACTGCAGTGCAGACACAAAATAAAAACCTCATCCATATCATTATACGAGTAGATAAAAAATAATAAACGCACACAATAATAACGATGAACTACCTAGTAGCTATCTATAATAATTCGTAGTAATTATGCAACAACAAATTTCGATTTCAGATAAAACAAAATAATTACCTAATATATAATATATATGTGTGAAAGTGTTTCTGTGTGTGTCTGTAATATTACGAGTATAACATAGCGTTATTTTTCGCATAAGTATATTGTTGATGTAATTACTACATCGATGATAAAAATTATTATAGTTATTATATACTTTCGTTAATTAATTCAAGAAGGTACATGAATTTAAGTACGCGCGGGGGCCATTCCCAAAGTCAGTTCATATCTATAAACAACCGCGTAGTGAATAGATAAGTAAATACCTAGTTAATCATAGCCCTTTTTTTTCGTATGCACAGAGTGATTTAATATTCAATAAATAACAATAATAAATATTTTTTTTTTATGTAGTATTGACGTTTTTAGCTACCTTTTTAGGTATTATCACACTWTACGTTTTCATCAAAAAATTCAAATGTATGATATTATCGAGATGGCTTTAAATAGAAATCCATATTTCTTTTTCTTATACTCGTATTTTTTCTATATTGTATTATCCACAATTTAACAATACATGAAAAAAATCTCTCCGATCAATAATTTAGAAATTAGAATGAATACTAACATGAATACTTTTGAAAAAAACTAAATAGGTTAGAAATGCTCAAATGCCAGATAAAAATATATTACTATATTATATTAAGTACTCACTAATACTTTTTTTTAATCGTGATGAYTTCTGAATTCATCGTTATAACTGATGATATTCGATCATATAACAAGTTAGTTTTAGTTTTTTATCTTATCTTAAACTATGTGGCTAGTAGTAGCTAATAATATAATTGAATTTGTTACTCTTTCGTTAATTTTTTTATGTTGTAAAAAAATAAACGGATAAAAGTTAGTTATTAAAGGACAGTATCGGATAATATAGGTAGGTATAGTAATACAACATTGTCRATACGGTACGACAACACTAAAATCATTGTAAGATAGAATAGAAGAGTTGTATCTCTCTGCTCGCAGACCTTTCATTCGCAGGACAAGTGACCTAAATAATTCATTTCCGATGATAAAAATACTCATCATCGTCGTTTGGTTGGATGGTCGTAGACCGTAGTTATAATGTTTCATTTAATACAGAACCGATAGTGTTATCATTGTACTGTCATCTGCTCGAGTCTTAATCGTTCGACATGGTAGGAAAAATGCACGCACGTGCCAAAATTAGTTTATCGTTTGGCACTCATTGAAACAGCTAACCGAAAATCGAAAATACGAAAATCAYAATAGATTCGTCAAAAAAATATAAAGGTGGGTCTGCATGGGTTCAATATATTACCTATGTATCATTTATACATATACAAACTAACATTGCATAGTATACACAAGATTTTAGTGATACTGAACTTAAAAAATGTCCAAATTTAGACAAAATTAACTCACGACATGCGTGACTAAATATTTCATAAAATGCATCGAGATACACATTTCCCGTTGCAAACGATCGTAATTCTTTCAAATTAAATGTAACACACTCATAAACATAAATGTTAGCACTATTTAAACTCATCCCTATGCAGTAAAAATATACATTACATGCAGTTAGACGGACCTTTCTAAATGTAATACTGAATATAGGTACATTAAAAAAAAAAAAATATTCCAACCTAATAACATAATATTATGTTTACCAGTCTACGGACAAACAATTTTATATTATATTCCCATAAGCAATTGTCTACGTGAAAAAATTAGTATTCAATTTAAATTTAAAAACACAATCCCGCAGCCAAACAAAAGTTCAGTACCGTATATTATTATAAGACTGCACATGTCGGAAAAAAGTTTTCATAAAATAGACGTCACACACACGATGAAAACGGAAAACGCTCGAGAAAAATAGCATTATAATGTTTATTGCATTCGCATTCTCGGAAATACACTTCGACTGGGAGTGCGTTTTGATAAATGCATTGTGAATAATGTCATTTCATAAAGTTGGCAAAGGACAAAATATATGTACCTAATCCTCTCGTTCTCCGTGCATTTAGTTTAAAATAAAAATATATTTTCCAATATTATTATGGTTTTCAATAACAAATATATTATATATTCTGGGGTTTAACAGTTTGGTAAGCCTTAACTTGTCAACATTGTTTAGTAGTGCATTCAAACATATAATCTCTAAAAAAAAAAAAAATAATCATTTATCAAATGCAAAATATCAATATATTTTATCAAAAGTAAAAATATTAACGTATTATTTTATTTTATTTTATTTTATTATTATTACTTAATTTTGTGAATAATTTTTATATATTATTATTGTTTTTTATATATATTTTTGTTTATCTTTAAATCTTATAATACATCTGTATCCAACTAATATCACCGATTCGATCAATATCAATATTATCTAACTTATRTTGTGTAATATTAAGTTATAAGCYATCATAACCATAAAAATTTATAATCGGTAAGGACCGTGTTTTGAACGATTCGATTTTGTTCAGCATCATTTTGATGTTTTAAGCAGCACATTGTACAACTTCGTCTAATTATGAAAAAAATAGGTAGGTACCTACTCAATTCTCGAGCTGTATTCATAGACTACCACCTTATGAGCTGCTTAGTTTCAATCTTTTATTGTACATACTCATTTAAAGCACGTTTCACATAAATATAAACCTATATTTAAATCATAAATATCCCTTGGTATTTGCGCCTTATTGCCAAAGTCTAATGCATACCTATCTAGATACAATAATAAACGAATGTCGAATCGATTTTAATCTATGAAATTCGCCAACCACGTTTGATATGACTTTTACCATTGGCATAACTCCAATAATGATGATAAAATTATTATGTAATATATAAATATTTATCACTATCGTGTCACGTAGGTATTGACTATGTTCTTATAACCACGATTCAAATATTTGACACATTAAAAATATATATAGAAATATATAATATATATTATGTTCTATACTAGGTATATTCTCTGCATTTTTATCAGGTACTGAATATAGTTAATGATAAAATCTCAATGTACGCTATACAAACAGCAAAATATTTTAATTCTGAGAGTTGTTTATGGTAGAAAATTAGATTCAGTTTTTACTGCAATGAGAGGTCGAAAGAAAAACTGAAAAGTAATTTTTAAAATCACAAAAAAAACCGAACATTTTTACTCAAAACTTTCAACTTGTTGATTAAAACGATTTAATTTTTTTGTATACCTATCTCAAAAAAAAAATCGTAGACAACTAGATATACTTGAAATTTGCACCAAATGATTTTAGCATTTTCTATAGATGGTTTAATTTTAACCTCTTTTAAGCTATTTATAAACATTTGAAATTTTCGATATTTTTTTACTTTTGTTCCTAGTTCCTATTAATATCGATAAAAAAATGTTTTGTTTTGTCAAAAAAATTAAAAATCCAAGGTTCTTCATATTATTTAATTCATAGAAAAATCTAAAAAATTTACAATCTTTATTTCATTTAGACACATTTGAAGTTTGGGAAAAATCAGATATATTATATATTTAAACGGAGAATATCGATGTTTGTTATTTTATTGTAATAAATATTATTAGTGGGAACCTTGAAACTTTTAACTTATTATATATCAAACACTCAATGACGTTTACAAAAAAAAATTAATCCAACCTAACGTAACACTAATGGTAAAATAAAAGTTATATAAATATATATATGTACTATGTACTATATAGCCTAACATACTGCTTTCAATCTTCGCTCAGAATCGTTTTTCGGGTGTAATAATTTATCATTGAATTCAAACTTAACACAATAATATGCACTACCTACTCATCGGTGACAAGTTTGAAATCTACAACTGTACATCACATTCGGTACTTTACCCCATTTTTAATTTAATTTTCCTTTATCAACACAATATTATTATATTTAAAATATTTATTATAGAATTTCGAAAAATAAATAACTTTTTTATACTAAGCCGATAGCTAAAGAAACAGGACACTTATAAATAATATAAATAATTATTTTATTGCAGGAACAACGCATATAGTTCATAATGGCAATCACGGTGGTCTCAACTCATATGTATCCTTTGGAAAACGCGGTGGAACATCACTCCGACCGATTCGAATTGATACAGGATGGATCAACAGCCATATTTCGCCGCGGACAACCATTTTATTTCGGYATTAAGTTCAACAAGCCGTTCGACAAGATCAAAGACATCGTCAGAATCGTTTTGGTGACAGGTGAGCAACGACTTAATTATGACAATTAATATCATTGAATAAAAAAGTTAATACATTAAAAAAAAAACTATCATAAAAAAATAGTCATATAATAACAATATAACATACATCACAGCAGGATAAATTAAAAGAACGTTTTAAGAACAGTGGGGATCGTTCGTGTCTCGAACCATTTTGTATACCTATCACATTATTATAATTTACATTTCTTTTGAACGAGAGGGAAGAAGGATTTATCTAACGGATACGGTTATTATATAACGGAAACGAGTGGTCATCGTTTCCCCCAAAAAGTGATTTTCATTTCCACCAAGGATCGTTTCAGCCAAACTGAAAAAGATTCGACTTTCGCTTCCACCATATCTATTTCTACTTATATTATTGAGATGGATTTTGAAAACCCCTATAGTCTATCTGCAATGTTATCGATCATCATGTATGTTGGGATTCAGAATAAACCATTTGATATTGAAAATATAATTGATTTTACGCATAATAATGCCTACTTAGTACTTATTATGAATAAATATAAATCGATCTAATCTATAACACATGTATATAGTCTCTGTGTTATCAAGATCAAAATAATTTCAGGCATATTTTAATCACACATTAATAAATTTAGAAAAAACTTTAATTTAGAATGTTTATAACAACGTATCGTTCTAAATAAGCCTTTAAAAGGTATATGCTACAATTATTCGAAGTAATAAATAATTTATAGAATTCTSAGAAATATTTGATTATATATTTATTAAAACTATTAATTTAATTATAATCTACTCAATTTAATTCAAATTCAAATTTTTGAAAATATAATCACAAAATCAAGTTTAAAATATTTTGAGGATCAATAAGAACCACCTCCTCGTAGTGGATCCTGGATATCTCTAAATGATTCGCAAACTATAATTCAATACAGGYAGGTAGAAACARATTTGGTCGGAACAAAGTCGAACCTTATTCGTTTCGGTAAAAACGATACTTGGTGGAAACGAAAATCAAGATTTTTGGCGGAAACGACTGACGCCCAATGAAAACAAAGGACTCTTTTAGGTTGTTAGAATACTTGACACATCCATAAAAGATAAAACCATAGCCCAGGGTTACATGCACATACATAATATTCATCGAATAACACCCTGCGTTTTGGGTTTTATTATTATTTTTGATCTAACTCAGTTACCACACCACTTAAAACTTTTAGATTTTTGAGTGATGATTCTGTTCGGTGTCATAACTACGACTCGTCAGTCACCACATTAGTAACTAATACTATACAGTATACATAGATACTTACATCGGATGGTAATTTCCACGTTSGTAAATTTTGTTTTACAGGACCGACCCCGACACCGGCAAAGGGCACGAGCGCCGCACTTATTGTCAAAGAAAAAGAGGACCTGATCGCTGATCGATGGGATGCTCGTTTCAGCAGCTTCGACGGGTCTACCGTTACCATACAGGTCAGAAAATTACAAAAACATTATTATTAATCTAAACAGCGTTTCATAAATAATGGTTACATTTTTAAATAAATAAATCGTGTACGGAATAAGGATAGAGGCGACATAGAAAAGAATAGTTGGTGAATGGGAAATGTGTAGGTGCTTATTCTTTCCAAAATTATTCAAAGCTTCACTTAATTAAAATTAAAATWAAACTTATTTTATTCAGGATAATTTCCTTCTCTTAAATTCTATCAAATCTTCGTCTATGGCTGAGAGCACATGGAACATTTCTAAGAGTTTYCTTTGTTTCAACTAACAAGTACTTTATGCATAAATTATTACATTATTAATTATTATTATTTATTAATATATATTATACTCGTATATCAACCAAGATATACAAMAGTTAGCTGAAATTAAAGGTTTGCCCTCTTTGGCAATTCACATCATGCTTCTAATAGGCTGGYCATGATCGAGTAGTCAATGGTAGATCTAGGCGTAAAATACTATAATATATATACCTATATATAAGCGATCTTCAAACAATCCCAACTTCAACTTTGGTRCCGGTGCTGCAAGTATTGCGTACCTACCTAAAAGTATATAAGTTATATTACAATATTTGGCACACCAAAATAATTTTTAACGAGTAACGATAAGACGTGATATCAAATATTTATGTTTCAATAATCAACGTGTACCCATTCCAGGTGCAAATACCGCCGTACGCACCTGTTTCTGTATGGAAATTGATCGTGCACACGGCCCGGAAGGGTGTGGCCGGAGTCAATCAACATCAAATTGACACAGCCATCTACGTGCTGTTCAACCCCTGGTGTCCAAGTGAGTTATAATGCAGCCATGCATAACGAATACACTATGATKTATGAAGAATTGTCTGTATGGGAGTGCGGGTATAGGCTCTTATTGGCAAATGTTACATAATATAATTTTAGATATAGAACTACTGTGGAGTTCGAGGTTATCTCAGAACCTCCTCTAAAGCACTATGATTAGGAACTTTGAGCGATAATTGAATATTCCTTTAACATACCCTAATTATAAATCATCATCGGCATCATCACAATTCATATTTGATAATTCATTTGTCCCTTTTAGACTTGGTTTATTTTGTTTTTCTTTCTTAAATAAAAATGGTAATTCCGAAGACTGATCGTCGACTTACGCCACACAACTCATACATTTATTATTATCCTCTCCCGCGATGACCTCAAACATTCAGTGTATTCACGTATATTTTCCAGACGACGGTGTCCATATGAATGACGAGGAGCAGTTGGAAGAATATGTGCTCAACGACAACGGCAAAGTATGGCAAGGCACGTACAAAGAACCCAAAGGATATCAATGGTTCTTTGGACAGTTCGAACCGGTAGTTCTGCCGTCCATAATGATGTTACTTGACAGATCGTCTATCCCACACCAAGATCGGGCTGATCCGGTGAAAATGGCCAGAAGCATTTCGGCAATAGTAAGCTTCGCATTTTACAGATAAACTATTATAATAGTTTATATGCTTCATAATTTCATGCTCATTACATTATTATATAATATAATACTATTATAAATGGTATTATAGAACGTACGCCATTTCAACAAGGTGGTGCATAAATCATAGCAATAAAAGCGTTAAGAAAAATGTTATCGTATTGTGATGTGTTCTTCAAAACAACGATTTCAGAAAAACGATCGTATCAGAATCTATTTTTAACATCAAGTTCTTATTTTTAGACGAATAACGTGGATGATAATGGTCTAGTCGAAGGAAAATGGGATGGTTCGTTCGAAGACGGCACTAGTCCGTTCGCGTGGCTAGGCAGCACCCCAATTTTCGAAGAGTTTTACAACACTCAACTACCAGTGAAGTATGGACAGTGTTGGGTATTTTCCGGAGTGATCGTAACAAGTTAGTGTTACACCTATTTARTAAAATATTTTTAACGACTGTTTATATTCTACATTAGAGTTCAAACAGTTTTAAGTAATGACCGTGATAACTCCAGGAAGATAGTGCAAGTTATGTACCTGTTTTGCCTATCTAAAACGCCGTGCGATTTAAATTGAATTATTCTTTGTTTAACCTCATTAAAAGTAAAAACTAAGGAAAGCGTAGAATTATATCAATACATAATATCATTAATTCTGCTTAATTATATTTATAAAATTTTTACAACCAAGTCAAATCTGTCATTCGACCACATAAAGTTAAGACTTTAAAAACGCAAATAAACTTTAAATTTACTTAAACTTCATTGAACTCGATTGTAATCTGCTTACTGAGCCTCGGAACAGCTGCAACAGTTGTAGTATTCAAGCGAATATATACGATATTAAATCTCATTGATCGTGGTGTGTTGCAGTTTGTAGGGCGCTGGGTATACCTTGTCGGTCGGTGACCAACTACATGTCGGCGCACGACACGAAMGCCAGTTTAACTATCGACACTTACATCGACATTAATGGTGAAAAGCTCAACAACCACCCAGGAAGCTATACCAACGACTCATGCTGGAACTTCCATGTTTGGAACGACGTGTGGATGGATAGACCTGACTTGGCCAAAGGTTACGGTGGGTGGCAGTCTATCGACGGGACGCCGCAAGAGACAAGTGACAGTAAGGAGTCTTTCCATTTTTTTTTTATCAATTACAAACGTAGTTCATCGCATGTTATATGTATTATAAGCGAACGCCTGAAGATTTTTTTCAACGACCTAAGTACGCGGCGTGATAGAACGCGAAAAATAATACATCCCCATAAACACTGCTATTTTCATTGAATTAGGCTAAAATTCCACTGCAGTAGATGTACGCCAAATTGCATGAATATTTAATTATTCGTTTGAACTATAGCTCGACGACGTGCATTAATTACTTTTATTAATATTAAAAAGTAAAAAAATAATGTTTAAAACATAAATATTAATTTTTTAGTTCATATTATTAATTTTAAATCACAATATCTACTTTCACTTAGATAACGTATAATGATTTTAAAATAAAAAAAAATTGTGCAGGATTTCTAAGGCTTTTATTATCAACCTGCACAGTTACCAAACTTTCTATTTCCAACATTGTTAGTATTATGATAGGCATACGATGATACAACTGACATTTTAACAACCCTAACTGACACGTTTTTGGCACTCAACAGGTATGTACAGATGTGGTCCTGCGCCCGTCGAGGCAGTCCGAAGGGGTGAAGTCAACATCGGGTTCGACACGACATTCGTCTACACGGAAGTTCGGGCTGACATGTGCGTTTTCAAAGAATCGGAAGACGGATTTTGGTCCAGAGTGAAAACGATACCGAATTAGTGAGTTCTGAGACTATACAATAGGGCGTAATACAATACCACTAAAAGTACAAAACTGTGGGTACCGCTTTTTCTTTTTGCACTAATAACCGTTTTCACCAAAAAAAATATCGACCAATTCTAAATTTTCACTTTCTACCAAAAAAATTACTTTACAATCATTGATTTCTGTTGAACAGTAAGTTTATATAAAACACTATGACATATAAAAAAAAGTATATTTTATATTTTTATATTGTAGAATAATAATTAAACAATACTAAGCAAAAAAATACATTTGTATTTAATGTAGTTAAATATATTATATTTTTTTAAGTATCAATATTATAATAATATATAAATTTGGTATTTTAAATTATTTGAAACAAATTTACTGTGTAACAGCATTAACTATTAATATTAAAGAAAAGATTTTGTTGGAAACGTGAAATCGGTCAATTTTTTTTAAGGCCAAAGCAAACTTTTTATGAAAACTTATACTGTACGTTAAAACCATTTTATTGAGTTGTATTAGTGCCTATTATTGAATTTATCTTWTYCTCCAGTATCCGACATAGACAAGAAAAACTGCTCCTTTGGCACTCACTCGACGCATTAGTGCTTGACATAACAAGACGCGTTTACATGATATTATAATATATAGGTGTAAAATGTAYATCATAAAATATACTTGAGTAGAATCAAATGTAGCTAATAATAATCGGTCATATGCGTAYCATGTTTGATTTATAGCGTTGGAAAACTAATTGTGACGAAAAAAATTGGACAAGAAGTGTTACCTGAAATCGAAGACATGGAAGACATTACTGAAATCTACAAAAATCCTTTCGGTATGAATAAAGACTTGTTRTAATAATAATAATTACTATAATTTATTGTAGTTAAAATTATTATGAAGTCACTTCTACGAGATAGAGATAGAAACAGACGACGTACAGTATTCAAAATAGTACCCCCAAATTGTGCTCAATAAAAACCATTTTTTTTTTTCAAAAGACAATATCATAATTTCTAAAAATAATAATAGCTATGACTAAAAATAAATTTTAAAAAATGATAATACTTACGTTGAAAACGCCCATAATAGATGGATGTAAATAATATGTAGTAATAATATAATCAGACGAAATCGTTTTGTACCTACGAAGAAAAAATAAGCCGGAAACATATTTTTACACTAAATACATGATAATATGTCTTACCATAATAATACAAGTCATTTATCAGTTGTATAGTTACGATCGACAGACACGCACAGGGCGTATCAAGATATACATTTTTATCGTTATTCAAGTAGATTTTTGACATTTTGACCTTCTATGTCGCACGTGGTCACAACGATATATAACAACCTATAACTATTGAAAGGGTTTTCCCTATTAATAACTGCCTCCATCCTCTCCAGCAATTAGCATGCGATCAATATCATCAAGGCTCAAAACGATATAAGAGTAATATTAATTTTCACACATGTCAATTTCGTCGCAGACAATTTTTCAACTATAGATGTGTGACTTTTAATGATTTTGAATCAATTTCACTAGCCTTGATGACAGTCAGGTGGAAGAGGAATTGGAGATTTTAAAAGAGAATATTGTAAATAAGGGCAACTATGGAGTAGGGCTTCACAAGTCCCACACCAGAAAAAATTGAATTTCTTCAAGATACATAATTAATCTTCAAACTCCTATCATAATAAAATATCAATTAAAAATGAATTAATAACAATTCCCATTGCACAATAAAATTCTGYAGCATGAAACACGCACATATTCAACGACAACGATATATTATAACTATCACCACTATATAAATAACTTCATAATACGTAAGACATTTATAATTTCCCTTGTTTAATTATCTCGTAGGTAGTGTTGATAAAATTTGTTAAAGAATACTTGAAGCATGTCTTGAGCACTATCATTCGTAGGTAATAAACTAATAACTAATAATGATATAAAATCAAAAAATAGAATAAAAATAACTATATCTTGTTTTTAATGATATTCTTGTATAGTATAAATGAGCAATGTGTACTGTATAGGGAGGAGTTAAGTTCCAATGGTTTACTTTACAGAAAAATAAATAGAGGTGCTTAAACCCCAATATTCTTAGGCTAGTTGTGCTTATGCCCCTGGGATATTGATCATCATGTTTTATCAAAGATATATAATATATATATATATAATCAACTATTAACTATACATGACTAACAGGCTAATTTTGTTGATCTAGACTCACCAGAGGACAAAATGGCCGTGAAAAAAGCAATTAAGGTGGTTCCTATTGCCCAGGAGATATACGACATGGAGGACTCACAAATCGAAGACGTTGAATTCAAGCTTTTCGACATCGAACAGATCACACTGGGYGAAAGCTTCAAAATTGCGATGAGCATGCACGTAAGACAAGATTTATCACACTATTATTTATAATAAGTATATTATACTTAATTTACAAAAAAAATATATTTTTGATAATAATATAATTAATATATTATTGTAGAACTCTCATAGTTAAGATTAACAAATAATTTATCAGTAGATATAATACGAAAACACAAATCGCAATTGAAGATCGATTTTCTRGTTAACCAAACCCGGTATACACAGTATCATTCTGAACATGTKAAATAGATACATTGATTTTATAATAAACTGTATAGCGCAAAATCATAATGAGCAATATTATTATATACGACAAATAAARAACAAATGGTGGTTGTCGGTATAAGTGATGAAGGGTAGCACTAATTGAGCGTCTGAAATAACGTCACTGACTACAATATTTACAACATAAAAATATTTATATAATTATTAATTAGTTTGAATTAACCTTAACTACCTCATTAAATAAATTTTATTCACATAGAACACGTCGTCGGAACCACGGTCGGTTTCAATCGTGCTGTCGGCATCGTCGATCCTATACACCGGAACGACAATCAACAAGTTGAAAAGAAGTGAAGCGAAAATTGTCCTAAAACCTAATCAAAGTACGTATTTCTCAGTGGTTCCAGTTGGGGGTATTTTTTAGTTTTATAACTTTTTAYCATCTACTGATAAGTTTGCGGTATTATAGCAAGACACTTGATCGTAGGGATAATTATTTGATTGTTTTACGCCCACTAAAGTAATAATTAATCAGGTAGGATCGCGGGCAGTGCGGGTTTATTTCACCTCTCCGTAAACAATGAGTGGCAAATRGGACTGCTGCCTCGAGTAGCTTTTTGAAGGTGAAATAAAAGTACAGGTGTAAGTAAGAAGTTATATAATATATACGATCGATTTTCGACTGGCACATTCTAGTTAAAAGCTAGAAACATTTCAGTAATTAATAATAAATAT